CCTACTTTGAGGACAAATGTTGTGGCTACTAGTGTTTGGAGGTCACAAACAATCAGAAAGTTTGTTAAGTTGATAACAAGTTGTCAGAATTCTTTGAATGCAAGGGCAGAGGTTGAGTGTTATTTCAATCTGTTAAAAGAAAAGGTTGAGAGTGTATCAGGTGTAATTGACTTTAGTGAACCTGTTAAAGAGGTTGAAATTGTTGATCTTGAGATCAAGAATCCTCCAAAAGCTAGGCCTAAAGGTGAGAGGAATGTAAGGCCTAAGAGTACCTTGGAGAAGCAGTGTAACAAGGCAAAGGGTAATTTCAAGAGGAAAAAGTCTCTGTACACTCCTTACAAAAGGGGTATAGGGCAAGCAGTTGTACAGGTATATGATCATTTCATATTTTCAAATTGATCATTTCAGTTTTCGTAAATGATCATTTATGTTTTTTTTTTTAAATAGGAACTTGATGAGAACGGTTGTGCTGTTACTTATGCTAATTCTATTAGTGATCCCATTGAATTGATTGTTTTGAGAAATAAACGGGCTCAGGTAAATTCAAATGTGCCAAAAAAAACATTTTATTTATATTGTATTAATATTGATTTTTATAATTTAAAAATATAGGTCGGCTTAAAATCAGCTGTTGTAGAAGAAATTCCTTCTAGTTCTAAGGAATCAAATCATAGTATTTCCAATGATTTTGATCAGGTATATGAACATTTATGATCTATATTATAATTTTTTTTTATTTAATTTTTTATTTTTTATATTTTTTTTGGTTTTTTTGTAGGCTACTGGTGAAAGCTCTCTTTCATCTATCATATCTATTGATGTTGATATTTCATCTATTGCTAAGGTTTTTTTTTTCCATATTTGTTTGTATAAGTGTTTGTAACTGATCATATACTGGTTTATTAATGATCAATTTAATTTTTTTTAAAGGCGAAGGATTTAAATCTTGAAGGTGTTTCTGCTGTTCAACCTTGTTCTAATTTTGGTGCAAATAAAGGTGCTTCTGGTGTTAAAACTTACTCTCAAATTAATCCAAGAGTTCCAATTCATACTAGTGCGTCAACAAAATCTCCTGTTGTTATTCAACCTACTGTTCCCAGGAATGTTCAAAATCAAACTCAGAATTGTTCAAACACCAATCCAGAAATGATCATATCCAACTCCAGGAATGTTCAATCAACAAATGTTCAAGTTATTTCTCCTACGGTTCAAATAAATGATCAAGGATTTCCTGTTCAGAATGTTCAAGTTACTCCTCCCACAGTTCAAAGAAATGATCAAGGTGCTCGTGTTCCAATTCTTCAATCAAGAAATGTTCAATTAGGTTCTAAAAAGATTTCTTCTAAATATGATAAGTTGTTAGCCTTTTTTGATACAAGTGTAGCTAAACGTTTGGCTAATAAAGATAAATAATTAGTATTCCAGAACTTTATAAACATTAGACTTTTTTGTAATGTTGATTTAATTACTATTTTGTAATTTTGAATTTTCGATCTATTATATAAAAAACTTTCATTCAAAGATTAAAATGAAATATCAATTACAATAATATTAAAATAAAATCCATAAGTCTACTTCTAAAAAAAAAAATAGTCATATATAAGAAATGAACATATACATAGTTGTAAATGAACATTTGAAACTACAAAGTTGCAAATTTTCTAGCTTTCCTTCTATTTGCTCTTGATTCAGTGTTTTCTTCAAATAACATCAGTTCTGCTGTGTATTGGAGCCTTAGATTTCTAATTTGTTCCACCTGTTGAACAAAATGAATTGTCAAATTTTAATTAAACAATCTTTACTGTTTCATAAATGAATATTATATCTTAAATAATTGATCATTTATAACTCTTACATTGTTTGGTTTTAAATCACAAATCCAGCTCTCATTAGGATCAGCAGTGAAGGTTTCCATATGCTTCATAATGTAAACTCCACAGTTTGTATAGTCATTGTTGCTACGCCATTTCATCTTTTCCAAAACAACTGTGTAGTCTTCAATTCTTTTTGCATCTTGATATCCAAGGTGTTTCATGTACTCTGCCAATCCTTTTAACTGATAGAAAAAAGAGTAAAAATTGTTTAGAAGTTTGTAATGTGATGAAGACATGAACAATTAATAAAATATAATTGATCATGTAGTCAACTATAAATGAACATATTATCTCACCATCATTTTTGGTTGTTCTTCATATTTTGCTTGGACTGATACCTTTTTTGGTAGTTTTCTATTGTCAATTATATGAATTTTGTCTTCTATATGATTGACGCACAACAGAAAAAAATGTTGAGAAGTTGATACTGGGAAGAAGACCTGAACAAATTATATAATGTTATTGGACAACATATTGAAGGTAATTGAACATTTGTATTAAACAAGAATTAATACCTGTTTATATCCAACAATGCTGTCAATTTTATTCAACTTCAGTTCATTGTCAATTCTTTCTATGAAGGCATTAATTCTTGTCTTCATTGATGATCCTTCTTGACAAACTCTATTTGTGCACATAATGTGCTGTTGAATACAAACAAACATATAGAAGTTAAATGAATTTTTAGCAATTATTTATCATAGGAAAATAGAATCAATAATATAAAAAAAGAAGAAAGACTAACATGAAGCACTGTTGAGAAATAAATCTTGTTTCTCGGCTTTTTATGATTAAGAAACCTTGCCCATCCATCTATGACACAATTTGTCACTTCAACATCATCTCCAAGAGTTTTCATTTCATTTCTATTGATGAGATTCAAGCCATCATAGTATAAGAGTGCACTGCATTATGAACATTTAATAATATGAATGTGAACATATTTTTATAAAAGATATTAAACCTTAAGTTTAATTAGTGTAAGTAATTACCTTTCATCTTTTCCACCAAGAGCAAAGTCTACTGCAATTTGGTTCATGGCTTTCTCATCTTTAAACAGATCCTTGTACTTGACCAAGTAAGGAGATCGGAAAGCAGGAGGAATTGTTTTCTTTTCGCGTTTTGGTCTTGTTGTTCAATATAAAATATTGTTAAATTAAGAAAATTATGAGGAACATAAATGAACATTTGAGTGTATATAAATAAATTTGAAATTATACCTTTCAACCTTTTCCTTTTCAGTTTTTTTCTTCTTTTCTGCAATTGACTTTTTCTTATCATCATTCCTGGTCATATTACATAACACAAATGTACATTTAGGTATATGAAAATGTTCATTATTATTTTTGAACATTTACTTAATATAAATAATGTACCTTTTTGTGACTTTTGAGGATGAAGCAACAATCTTCTTGTTTTCACTGAAAAGTGAAACAATGTCAGTACATATTAATAAAATAAAAGCTTCTTATGTAACACCCTGAATCATTTTCAATTCATAAAATGAAAGATATTGATTTAACATAAACCTATTGATTTAACATAAACCATACATTCATATTACATATTCAACAAAATAATGTTCACACATACAATAGTTTGAGAAACACCAGTTTCAAGTTACAACACGATAGTAACATAAGTTAAATTGTTCCATCTAGATATTTTATCCTACACCATTACATAACCCTAATAGTAAGACATGTCTTCAGGATTTTACCCCTCCACTTTTTCATCATTTTTTGTTTTTTCAAAAACATCTTCCTTGTTTTGTTTTCCACCTCCAACTGTGTTTTTTGGATCATCACTTTTTTCACCACCATCTGACCTAGGGTCAGCATCAACCACTGAACCAGATCCTGCATCTAAGAAAAAATTTAATTAGATATAATATAATTTCTTTGTAAATGAACATTTGAGTATTTATAATTGAACATTATACCTGTTCTAGGCAATCCTTCATTATCTGACCTAGTGTCAGCATCAAATTTTGAACCAGTTGCTGCGTCTAACAAAATAATACAATTAATAATGAATATTTCTTGTTTGTAAATGAACATTTTACACTTTTTAATTGAACATTATACCAGTTCTAGAAAATTCTTCAATTCTTTGTTCTGAAGCTGCTGAAGTTTTACCCACATCCTTTTCTCCAGCTGTATTATAAATCATCATTTTGGAGATACACTAAGTTAATAGTATTTACACATAATAATTAGAAATGAACATTTCTACTTAAGTTTATGTACATTATTATTAAATATATGAACATATTACCATTTGTTGAAATTATTGGTTGTTCAATTATATCACCAAGTGTTGAAAAGGTGGGCCCTGTTTCTGTTTAGGACAATTTAGACCACAAATTTAGAATTTTTCATATAAAAATTAGGATATATAGTCTCTTTTAGTTAGAATTTACCAATGGCTGGAGAAGGTGGAGTCAACCCCAAGCTGAAAGCTTTTCTGATGTCATATTCTTGTTCTTTTTCCTTTCCCTTTTTGGTTAATTTCTTCCCAGTCATTTGCTTCTCAGTTGTTTGCTTTTCAGACCCTTGCATCAGATTCTTCTCAGCTTGTGCAAGTGCATTTAGGAAATCCTCACTGCCAAAGAATTCTTCATCTTGGCTTAGAATTGATGGTTCCCTAGCTACCACCTTTCCTAAAACTTCATCAACTTTTTTCACCAAGTCATTTCCAGGGAAGATATCCTTTGCCTTCACCAATTTTGAAGAAAGCTTTGACAGGTTTGAACAAGTTGTTTTTACCAGGGAAACAAAATCATCCATAAAAACCTATATGAATGAATATTAAAAATTATGCAGTTGAACATTTCAGATTATACAAATGAACATTTATGTTAACAAAAGTGATCATTTTATAACCTTAGGACTTTCTTCAACTTCTGCAGCAATCCTTGGTAGAATTTTCCCTCTCCCAAATCCCAATTCTAATTCAATCTTCAACCTCTCAAGAACCATGTCTCTATTCCATGCAGATATGATAGGAATTGTTCTTGGAGGCCTTTTGTCTAACCTCTGAACTCTATCAAAATAGAACAACTACAAGAAAAAAGAAAACATGGAACAGAACATAAACAATAAAAAAAAGTGCATTTATTTAAATTTAAATGAACATCTTGTATCTAAGAATATACCATCACAAATTGAAGAGGGCCTTTGTAGAACCCCTTGCCTTGCTGCTTTCTCCAATCAACATGACATTTGATAAGTGAGTCATATACAAACTGACACCAGTTCAAATTTTTTATGTTTTCTTTGTCCATCATAGAATAAAGAAATTTGAAATGGCATTGATTGTTTGATACACATTTCATCAAGCAGTTCACAGCCACTGCTAAAAAGTTAGTAATGAAATGTTCACTTGGTGGTCTGTTGTTGGTGAATTTATCATTTATGTATCCATTCACAATCTGCAAACAAAATGAACAAAACATTTATACTTTTGATCATTTAATGTATTTAAAATGAACATTTAAAACTGATCATACCTGACTCACTGATGGAGTTTTTCCTGACCATGATTTTCTCCATTTCTTCAGAAATTCTGCATACTCCTCACTAATTTTATCAGACTTTGGCTCAACAATTGGAATTTCTCCTGTAGGAAAGCCATAAACTACCCTAACATCCTCTACCTCAATTTCTATTTTTTCATTCTTTGGTAGTTCAAAACACTGGCTATTTTCTTCAAAACTTCCCAATAACCAGTTACAGAACTTTTGATCAAGTTGAGGTAAACTAATGTCAAGAAGTGATCCTAACCCTATATCAATAATTTGTTGTTTTTGGGTAGGTGTCATCTTTTTTATCCATGCAATGAACTTCACATGTCCTCCTCTCTTTGAAGATTTCTCTTCCTCAAATTCATCTTCCTGAATTTCCTCAACTTCATCAGTTTCTATTGCTTGAACCATTTCAGTTTTCATTTTCTTTTTTCTCCTACCTTCAATCTTTCCTTCATCATACAGTACCATCTTTTGCTCCTCCTTTTCAACCTTTGCCTTCACTGAATTCCCTTTCTTTGCCTGTTTCTTCCTTGGCTTTACTTCTTCCTCTTCCTCCTCTTCCTCCACCTCATAATCATCCTCACTGACAGGCTCTTCTTCTGCTCTATAAACTGACTCTTCACTATCATCATCACTGTCAGTAGAACTTTCATCAGTAGGATCTTGAGAGGGTTCATCTGATGGTACTTCTTGTATTTTTTTTCTCTTTCCAGCATTTCTCTTGGCAGGACTGACATCTGAAAATTAAATATATAATTTTGTTTAAGTATTGAAAATGTACAGTAAGCAAATGATAAAATGAACAAAATTGTTTTCTCAAATGATCATTCTATATATAGAAATTGAACATTTATAATATATCATTATATACCTGCTTTTCTTTTGCCAGCAACCTTAGAAGTTTTCTTCACTTCTTCTAGAGTTTTCTTTTTCCCACCTATATATTGAAATTGAACATTAATGATATACCATCATAAATGATCATTCTATACATTAAGATTGAACATTTACCCTTTTTGCCTTGGTCTGGAGGATATTCAGCAGGAGCACCTGCCATTTTTTTTATTGGAGTAGGTGCTGGAGGTGGTGCATCAGCTTCCTTTTGAATAGGAAAATTCCTTGTAGACATTCTTCTCTTCTGTCCTATTTTTGCGGTTTCTTTAGCAGGTTCAACATCCTTCTTCAGGCTTCTCTTTTCAGATTCATCTAACAGAACATCTATTGTTTTTAAAAAAATTTATGTTAGTATATTTGAAAGTGTAATATTTATTGTGTAACAGAAAAGTATTATGATTACCTTGGCTCCTTGTAATTCTACCACTTGGCACAACAACAAGGCTTTTGTTTTTGTTTTTCCTTGCAACCATTTTGTATCTTGTTTTCATTTTGGTTGACTGATCACTTTTTTGTGATGATGGAGCTGTCTCCTCACTAAGTTTTGTGGAAACTTTATCATCATCTTGATCTAGAAGATAAGTTTCATCCTCAATTTGAACAAAATCAGGTGCAATTTGTGCTGCATATGAAATGATCAAATATAAAAGATTAAATAAACATTTATTAAATTGGATGACAAATGTTTACTATATACAATATAAATGAACATTTCAGGTAATGAATATGTACATTTTCCACTATTTACCTTTCGGATCTGTTGTCTTTGTAGACTCATCTTCCACTGTTTTCTCTTTAGGGATTTTCTCCTTTTCAGGCTCTTTTTTTCCCTCTTGTCCTTCTATGAAAATTTAATTAGTTAATATTTATATATTTTTTTAATCTTATTGAACATTCAATATTATGTAGATCCAATATGAACATTTTATGTAATAAAAATGTACATTTATAAATTTTTACCTTCTACATTTGTTGTCTTTGGAAAGACATCTTCCACAGTTTTGTCTTTAGGGCTTTTCTCTTTTTCAGTCCCTTTTTTTCCTTCTTGTACTTCTATTAAAATTTATTTAGTTAAAATTTAATTTTTTTAATCTTATTGAATATTTAATATTATGCTTTTCCAATATGAACATTTTTTGTAATAAAAATGTACATTTTAAAATTTTTACCTTTTTCCACAGTTTTCTCTTCTATTGGCCCTTTTTCTTTCTTTTTTGCTTCACCTTCAAAAGTAATAGTATTGTTAAAATTGATATTTATGACTATTAAACAAAAATATTCAATAAATATGATCATTTACCTTTCCTGATTTCCTTGCTTGCCTTTTCCATTCTTTTGAGATTTCTCATAATTCTGATTGTCGATTCTTTGTACTTTCTGTAAATGTATGATATTAACTTTGAAATATATTCATTAATTGATTAAATTAATTCAATTATTTAAATTTAAACATACTTTGGGTTTCTCTCTATGTCTAAATGTATTTCTTGCATCTTGTCCTTTAATGTTGTTATTCTTGAATCATCTTTGGGTTTTCTGATATTTCATTAAAAATATGTTTGAATTTACAATTTTGATTAGTAAATAAAAAAATGAACATATAACTTATATTACTATTGGCCATGAGCAAACTTTTTTGTACTGATTTTCAAATGAACATATAGTCTATCTAAATTGAACATTTAAGTTTTCTTACTTTTGGCCAAGACTATTCTTTACTGGATTGCTTTGCACTTTTGGTTGAACTTCTTCTTGCTTGCTGAAATCAATATTAAGAAATACTTTAAATAAAAAATGCACATAAATTGTACATAAAATATACTGTTATAAAAATGAACATTTGTTTATATAAAATTGATCATTAGTATACCTTTCATCCCTACTCTCTTTGTCAGTTGTGTTATGTGTAGCAGACACACTCTTAGTTGTTGCATTAGTAGCAGGAATGTTCTCACTTTGTTCACTTAAAAAAAAACAGAATTATTTTATATAATATGATATTAAAGTATGAACTAATTTATACAATGAAGAAGATAATTAGTTATTTTGTATAAAGCTTTTATACCTTATTGTTTGATTTGTCTCTGGTGGTCTTGATTTTGACATAACAAATTTCACTCGAACCTTTTTTTTTTCACTAAAATTTTAAGAATTACCTAATAAGTTTGGTATATATATACAATGTACAATAATTGAATGTAAAAACAATTATTTTATACATATAAACTTACTTGTTTAAAGTGTATCTTTCATAACTATTACCATATTCATTTTGTTCTATAACCTTCTTTAGAGTTAATGGTTCAGATTTCCCATCTCTAAATTGAAGCAAGTGTATCACTCTAAATGGCACATCACTACATTATAAATTAATTACATGACATTAGTTTGAATGCATATCACTGAAATGATTATTATCATATTTATATATGTGCATGATGATTTAATGAAATGTATATTTGTTATTTAAATCTCAATGACTACTCAAATGAACAAATATACATATATGATCATAATTATATCTATAAATGAACATTATGAGTATCAAATATGATCATATACAATGATGTTTCAATGAAATGTACTTTTGTTTTTAAATCTCAATAAATACTCATATGAACAAATATAAATATATGATCATAACTATATCTATAAATGAACATTATGAGTATCAAATATGATCATATACAAATAACATATTAAACAAAGATAAAACCAATTTTATCAAATACAACTAGCATATTAGACATGAACATAATATATTCTGTAAATGACTAATTACCTTGGTAGTGGAGACATTGTTAAATCCGTACCAATTGACTTGTCAATATCTTTTAAAAGTTCCGGATCTACAATTGGATCATTTTGGCGGTTTTTTTTCAATTTGTCTACTCTTGACTGAAGAGGTACATCATCATCATCGTCTCTGTTTTATTTAATAAATTGTTAATGTTTTAGTTATTTTCAGTAAAATCTTAGAACAATTACTACAATCGCAAAAAATTTTAACAAAAATTAGGTTTTACAAATAAATTCGCTCTATAATTTTCATCGCAAGAATATGAACAAATTAGGTTTTACAAAAGTTAGGGTTCATACATTTCTTCAGAAATTTTCAACAAATTACTCGTCTGTGAAGTATTTTTCTCCAAAATCATACTACAATTGCAAAAAATTGAACAAAAATTAGGTTTCACACATAAAATCGCACTATAATTGTCATCGAAAGAAAATGAACAAAATTACTTACTCTTTAGATACATTTTGCTCCGATTTTGCAGTTTCTTCTTTCATGTTCTTCTCTGTAGTGGTTTTTTGCAAAATCGCACTACAATCGCAACAAAATGAACAAAATTAAGGTTTCACACATAAAATTGCACTACAATCTCAAAAAATGAACAAAACTAACGAAATTACTTACTCTTTTTGTTGTGATTGTTTAATTTCTTCTCGAATATCAGACATTTGAAGCAATTTTGGAGTATTTTGAAGCAATTTTTCAGTGATTTAAATTGAAATTTGTTCCGATTCGTTGGGTTTGATGAGAGAGAAACTCTAGAGAAATGAAGAAGATGGTGTTTAGAGAGAGAGAATGATTTGAAATTGATTTTTTTTTTTATTTTTTTTATGTATATATATGTGGGGTAGGGGAAGTTAGTTATGCAGTTACTGTGGTTATTGTGGGGAGTGGGTAATTATTGTGGGTTAGTGGAGGGGGTGTGGGTAGTAACTCTAAACGCTGCGTTTAGAGGGAGTGTAGGTTGGGCTACCTACACTAGGGTCTAGTGTATACCAACTAGAGAATTAAGGCATAGTCAAAGTTCTTCTCCTTAGCATTAAAAAAATGCAAAAAGTGGATCAGGAAAGCCAGTGTTTGTGCCTTTAGTTCAAAAGTGAAAATAAAAGGCCCAACTTGCATGATTATAGTTCAAAATGTTACGAATATAGACATTGGGCTTGAACCAGTATATACAGTTCACCATTATTTATTGCTTGGTAGCTGGTACTCCTTGTTTTATCCTGTAGTGTTGGGCATGGCCAGCACGGTGACTCGGTGAGTAACGGGTGGATAATCATGACATCATCTATGGATATTCGCACGAGCACAACATTTTTTATGCGTAGTTCAAAATAAGAATTCCGAATGTTTCCCTACTACATCCTATTTACTTTACCTTAAATTAATTATATTCAGTAAAAATAATTTTAATTTAGTAAAATTAATTCCAGTTTAGTAAAAATAAGTTCAGTTAGTAAAAATAATTTCAGTTCAGTAAAAATCAGTAATTTTAAAGTTGAAATATAATAGGAAATCAGCAAAAATTATTTCAATTCAGCAAAATAATTTAACTTCAATAAAAATAATTTCAGTTCAGCAAAAATAAGGTGAGTGAACAGGGCCTTAGTTTACTACTCTGTAACATTTAAAAATAGTAATAACGATAATAGTGACGAAAACAAGGTTTACTTCGATTAAATTTTTTGGCAGATATATGGGTGATAGAATTCTTTGGGAAAAAAAAAATTGTTCACTATTATGTAAATCTTAAAATTTTAAATAAAAATCAATATTAAACATCGTTAGCATGTCATCTCTATGAACAATCTATGTTTAACAAACTAAGCAAACCTGAAAAGTACGTAAGAATAGATACCTTGTTTTTGCCATAATTCAAGGTAGGAAGTAGTAAAATTTGAAGAAGTAAAGAAAACGCTACGTAGTAGAAGAACAATTTGGCATGTGATTATACGCAAAGCAAGGAATTAAATACATTTCTTGGAATAATTTCATGTAATATAGTGACTTAGGATAAAGAGGAAGCACCTTTCAAGTAAATTATATAATGACATGGTGCACTTGCCACGATATGATTAATTGATTGTATGAATCATTGATTTTTGATTTAGTAGGTCAATATAATGGACCATAAATTAGTGCCTCTTTTTGTAAATTCGTATGTACTTTTTTTGTTTTTGTTTGACATACAACTGTTAGGTGATTAATTAAGTATTAGTAACTAACTTGATTGATACAATTTGAATGTTTTAAGAGCTTGTGTACGTATGTAGAGCTTGGTTTAGTTAATTTGGGTGTGGGATTGAGAGATTAAACATAATCGGGCGAATATCATTATATATGCGATATAATGTGTATGATGTTCATACTACTTGAGATGACGTGTATATTATGGAAGAGAGCGTAATCTAGATATCTCTTACCCTTATTATGTTTGTCAATTTATAAATATATGTTGTAAGTATGATAAATCAATGAAATTATGTATACATATGAGTTGAATTGAAGTTGGCCTGGTGCTAATTGCCAGATAATTCAACTTTCTTGAACCAATTAGTTTTCCTTTTTATCGATCGTAATCAAATTCAATACAAATTAATAGTTTAATAAAATTCAGATTACTCAAATTAGAAGCTATTCCACTGAATGAGCTTGTATAATTTTATATTTGACTCCTGATAGCTGACATCTTTGCCTTTCAACAAGTATAACATTCAATTATTTTCTTTATAATATTCAGAAACGAATTTTTTAATGAAATTGAGATTACTTAAGTTAGACGCAATCACACATTACTAATAGAGCTTGTGATAATTTTATATCTTGTACCTAAACTTGGTTAAGTTAAATGTGTACACCTTGTTCGTTATTATTAGTGGGTCAACCTCATAACTAAGTTTGACAAATAAATTGAAATGAGCGTAATTAAAAAGTGTGACAAATAAATTGCGACAAATACATACATATGAATTGTAGTTGTTGCTACGGAGTAATTGCATGCTAAATAATTAGTTCAACTCTATTTTTCTAGTATTTTCAAAACAAATTTAATTGTTTAATAAAAGTCCAGAAGTAATTTCAGTGAACGAGCTTAATTCGTTAATGAAAGTGAGATTACTCGAGCTAGAAGCAATAACACATTTACACTAAAAGAGCTTGTGGGGTTGTGGACGTGATCTTATATTTTATTCCTAAACTGTTTAAGTTGACTAAGCATACTAATTATTTAATTTAAGCCAAAACAACTAAGTAAGATCAAAAGTATAGTAAAAAATTCAAAATTATAACCAACGCCTTCTTGGTGTAGCAGACCACACTATGTGGCCAGCTGCCAACTCAGCAAAAATAACAGGATTTGACGCGCATAATGGGATTGGCTTTCACGCGCTTTTCTTTCCAAAAAAAAACACACTGAAATAACGGATAATGAAACAAATTTAACAGAGCTGACACGCTCATAAAAAAGTTGTAGACACCTAATCGTGTCTCCCACGCCCCAAACACCAAACCCAGTGATGGGTACCTTTCACGTTTTGATTGACGAGTTCGGTAAAGAGTTGAAGAGTTGCGTGAAATTTCCTTAAGCCTTGACCATATTTCTAACCGTACCTAAAGTGTTTTAATCCAAAATCATTCATTTCGTGTCCTTAAACCCAAAATCATTTATTTCATGTCCAAATTATAAAATAAAAAATAAAAAAATAAAAAAAGAAATGAAAAGAAAAAATCCAAACTTGATTATTTTGGTCCATGTTCCCAGTACAATTATTGTTTAGTTGGATAGGACTTGAAAAGAGTTTTCCAACGATATATTATAAGCCCAAATTTGACTTAAAACGAATAACCAAAATACCAATCTCGAACCCTAAACGAGTCTAGGTCCACCTTAGCTACGACCCAATGATTACATGGAGTCTGAATATTTTATTTAGGCCCTATATGATCATATTCCCAATCCTAAATCAGTTAGAAACTTCTAGAATTTTCTAGAAGGTTCTAATTTATTCTTCCCGAAAAGATAAGGATCGAAGAAGTTTGAGATTGAATAAAACTTCTCATATGATAATCCTTGTTCTATTCGAATTCAAAGACGTTTGGATATCTGCTACAAATATAATTCTATTATAAATCAAAATTCTTACGACTAATCTATCTTCAGGAACCAATGCACAATCACAGGTTCAACACGCCACGCCAGCTGTGTCACGTCGCGACAGGTGCCAACGCGCCACGACCACTACTAGAAAACAGGTGATTTCCGACACCCTGTTTTCTATCGGAAAACGTCTTTCCGACGCCGTCGTAAATTGTCGTCATAAAAATATTTATTAGAAAAACGACCTTTTTTTGATAGAATTCATGCTTCGGAAGGGAATTTTCATGCCCGAAAAGTCCGTTGAAAATTTCCAACAGACTGTATTCCGCCGAAAATTTCTGACGAAAATTCTGTCGGAAAAATCAACAAAAAAAACAAAACAAAAAAACCCTCACCACCCCACACCCACGCATGCTGCATCCCCTGCAGCCCCCTTTCACCTCACTTACACACCTAATCCTACACCACCTCAAAGCCTTAAACTCCACCACACCACCAACTGCTGCACATTCAAACCCTCACTCACCATCACCAACCCACGCCACCAGCCTTATACGCTTCACCTTTAAACCCTCTCTCATCCCACGCTACCAGCCCCTAACCCAGATCCACCCACTCTAAAACCATCACCTAAACCCACCCTAACCCTGACCAAACCCACACCCAAACCCACCCTAACCAAACCCACAATCAAACCCACCCACCTAAAACCATACCCACCCAACCCTTTTCCCACCACAACATCAACCAAAACTATACCCACCACCAGACCCACCCAAACCACACCCAACCAGACCACTACGGCAGTACTACAAAAAAAAAACACAAAACAAACCAAAAAAATTAAAAAAACGAAAGACATATCTTAATAACCAAAATTGGTTTGAATTCCATCTTGAATTTGGTTTAATCAGACCAAATTCGACCATGAAAAGTCTATATCTAGAATTTTCATGGTCGAATTTGACCTTAAACCCCTTACAAAATAAAAAAAAGAGTCACTTAGCGACGCGGCAACGGCATTTGGATTTCACGAAAATTCTGGTAATGATTTGATGACGCAAATGGTGGTGATAAAGGATGAAAAAGTGGCGGACTCACGAAAATTCTGGGTTGATACGAAGAACAAAGAAGGAAGAGAGAAGAGAGAAGGAGAAGAGGAAAAAGAAGAGGAGAAGGGGACGAGAAGGGACGAGAGACGAGAGAAGAGAGTAGGAGAAGGAGAGGGAGAGGAGGAAATAGGCGAGGAGAGAGAAAGAGAAAGAGAAATTGAAAAAAGGAGGTGGAAGAGAAGTAGAGGGGGGATGCCGGGGAAGGTAAAATAGAGTTTAGGGTTTGCTCTTTTTTTTTTAATAATAGAATTCCGACGGAAATTCCGTCTGAAATTAATTTTAATCAGTCGTAAAGCACATATTTTCCGACGGAAAAATTTTCCGTCTGAAATTTTCGACGGATTTCCAATGGATTGTTTGAATTCGTCGGAAATATCCGACGGAATATAAATCCGTCGAAAATTTTGATTTTTTCGTTGGAATTACGTGTCTGCGGAACCTGTCCGTTGAAAATCGTCCTAATTTTTATAGTGGACAAACTTGTCGCGCCACGTTAAAGATGTTTTATTTTGTTCAGAACTTCTGATCG